GAGGTTTTACCAAAGCACTATCCCAGAGGGTCTGGGTTTGCCTTCGAAGGACTGAACTCTAAGCAGCTGTGTTAGCGAGGCGAGGAAAAGTGAGAGCCGAGCGGTGTTAGGTCTAGACCAAGCTGGAATGTATTTATGTTTACCTAGGAACTTGTACTTTTGTCAAGATAACCCTGTAGTGAGGTCGTGCTGTCCCAACAAGCAGTGTAATGGGGAAATCATTGTAACTAGTTTGCTTACCCCACCCACAAACACACTGCTTCAATACTGCAAAGCATCACTTTTCACTCCCTCCGAAAGCCCCAATAGCAATTGGGGGGCCAACTGGCCGGGGGGTTTGACAAGCCCCTCATGCCCTGGGGAAGAGAGAGCATCCGGCCATAAGGGCGCGGGGACGAGGCCGGGATGCGCGTTGAGGGTCCTAGTGTTCGGGGTCAGGGGCTCGCAGCATGAAAGTCGACACAAACCTTGTCTCTTTTTGCCGCGGTCAGCGGGGGCCCCAAAGCCTGCCACTCAAGTAAACAATGGGCCAAAGGCCTGAGGGTCGGGACAACCGACCCCTACGGCCTGCAGAAAGAAAGAGCAGGATGCGGGGGCAGGATGTTTCCCTTGCCGGCTCTCTTCCTGGGGCCCCGGCGAGTTTGCCTCGGCCTGCTTTCCCAGAGACTCGTCCCCATGAGATTTGGGGGCGCCTGGAGCCTTGGGCAGCGGTCGCTCGTCCGTCCCTAACGTTTGGGATAGGAAAGAGAGCAAAGGGGCTCACTGGATGCTAGTTTAGGGGAGCAAGCGAAAGCAGAGCATGGGCGAGCCACGTATCTTCAAAGGACGAGCCTGCGATGCCAACAACCGTGTGCAGGGCTGGGGCGGGGCAACAACCAGTGGTGGAGCCGATTGTGCCGCACACTATCGGAGCCCAAACTGACCGAAAGGCTGATTTGTAGGGCGAAGGGGAGCCCTTCGACTGTGCAGGAGTGCAGCCGGTGTCAGCAGGCGGGCATAGCAGACTGCGGAGCCATGGCTTGGTCGCGCCGCTCTTCTCATTGTCATTGTCGTCAAACCTTTGACAGGCATTGTCTCGTGGCATGACTCGCTACAGCTGCAAGAGGCCACGACAGTTCTCGTGAGGTGTGGTTTTGTGCTTGGTTGCTGTCTTTAGGTTTCTTAGCGAATTGGTATCTTCTCAAAGTCCGAATGAGAAGACAACCCGACCATCCTTGCTCAGGCTCAACATGCTCTCGCTGTCGTTCGCTTCTTCTTTCTCTCTGTCAGTCTCTGGCCCCCTCCCTCCCCTTCCTCACTCACTTCCCTCCTCCCTCCCCCGACTCCAACTCTGCCTCTGTCGTTAGATTGTGTCATCTACATCCGTGTCGCCCAAGCACGATCAAACGCAGAACCCCCGAATAGGTGCGGCTATCATCTCTGTGAGTCTTGCTGCTCCACACGGTCTGTAGAGATGCTTGACGAGGACACTGATTGGGGCCTCATGCCTGAACGTGCCCTTGCTTTCCTTGCACAGGAGATTACGCTGTCCATCTATAGACCTTCACAGGATCTGATTCCAGGAACGTGGCAGAAGACAGGCTCTTGTGAGACACCTTTCACCATGGCCTTCGCCAGGATTGCAACTTCAAGAGGAGGATGTGCTGCAGGTTCAGCATGCGCGTGATGCTCGTGCTATGAACAGTACAGTGCAGTTTCAATCGGCCAGGTCCGGCTCAAGGCCGGATCCACTGTCCGCGCCCTCAAGGAATCGCCAGCCATCGTTCCAGAGTTTCGAACCTGCCAGAGGGCTTTGGAACATTTCGTCATGTCTTCCGATAGTTGACATGATAGGGTTGGGCGACAACAGCGGCGTGCCATGTCAGCAAAAGACATGCGAAGGCTCATGGATCTGGACGACTCTTCTTGTGAAGATGCCGTCGAGCTCACAAGCGAAATGACATACGAGCATCGAAGCTCACCAGATCTAGATCGAGTCCATGTACCGTGTACCTGCATGCTTCGTGAGAAAGTCATTGATATAACGACCAGTGCATCTTTCAAGGAAGCGGAGTGCCACGCGTAAGTTATCCGAGCAACGGTAGCTTTGCTTCTTCCCAAAATCCAAGACGCATTGGTTCCACTGCTCGGACTCTCAAACCGGAGCGTTCGGAGAGACGGTGAGGGTGCGATCCTCGCAATGTGAATATCCTGGGCCGGGGAGTGCACAATACGTCTAAAACTTTGGCAGGAGAAGTTGTGCGATCTGTACGGCATGCCAGTTGCCATGCAGGTCATCGAAACAGAGGTGCAGATGTAGTCGAACCATGTTGTTTCGAGGCAATAAAGCGCGACATAGATGCTGCAGCAGTGCAGAATGAGGACTGCGGCTCTCTTCGGAATTCGCCCAGTCAGCTTATTTTTGGACCGGGCAGGATCCGGTTGCCTGTGAAGATGGAGACGTTCTTTATCTAGGCATGTCGAGCAATGGCAAAGAGTAGGTGGGACCTGTCGCTGGACCCAGGCAACCCTTTCGAGTCTGCCTTCTCTGCAAGGGGGGAAGGCCGGAGACGTGAGAGTGCTGGTCCCACGCAAGCGCGCATGATCCAACATGTGATCAGATCACCTCGGGCTTCTGATCTCTGAGGCGAGGTCCGCAAAATCAGTACCCGTACAGCGGTCTCCTGCTCCTGCATGAGGCTGTGACGGGCCTGTTGGCCGATGCAGAGAGTCGCGCGCAGGACAGGTCTCAGGTCAATCTCATGCAGATGCGAAAGCCTTGTGTGTGTGTGTGTGTGTGTGTGTCCTTCTGTGAGGAGCAGGGCATGAAGGAGATCACGCTGACGCTCGGAAGAGATCCAGAGCACCAGAGACGTGTGCTGATGTTGAGTGTTCCTTACACGAGGAACGTCGTAATGCCATGCCTGGAGAAGGCAACGATGGCGTAGGAAGCTCAGGATGAGAGAACGCTGAGCGACTTTGTGGCTGATCCAGGCGAAGGCGGCAAAGGCAATACCCGAGCAGAGATGTCAAGTCGTTGTCGTGGACACGGACTCAGCAGAAAACATGTCGGAGACTTAGTGAGGTTGGGCGTCATGGATCCGTGCTCTTTCCAAGGTGTCTGCAAGAATGGCAGAAATCAAGGAGATGGTCTGATCCACAGGGGAAGACTCTAGTGACAGCTTGAATGGTCTTGCAGACCCTCGCATGCCATGAAGGCTGTTGTGGAACTCGACGCCGAGCAGGAGAAGCAACGAGACAAGTTCATGGCTCTCAGCTGACTCTCCTGGAAGCAGGACGAACTACAGCTCGAATTTGCTGGCCAAACAGTTCCGGCTTGCGGCTTACTCGAGCCACTTGGCATTCAACGCTTCGAGAAATGCTTGTAGGCCGGAGCCACGGTTCAGATGATGAACCTCGCCGACGGAGATACCCTACGTCTGGTTCCTGCATGAGACAGAGGCACATGTCAGCACTGGCACGCCTGTGGTGAGAATGAGTATAGCTTGCAAGGGGTGAAGGGCGCAGCAGCTTAAAATCTTTGGAGGTATTTGCCCCCTCAGTTCATGTTCACATGACTTCCACCTTGCGCCAACTGCACTGCCAGGTGGTTCCTGGTCCAAACTTTCTCTGTGCTTCAGTACGCCCTCGCGTTCCCAGCTGAACGGATGGACAGCAAGTCTGAAAAGTTGGGCCATGTACAAAGTCAAGCCTAGCTAGCCTAGATGTCTTGTGGCCAAAGCGCTGCAGAAAGACCCAGCTACACAGTTGCACCATCTTGGCGCGACAAGGAGCCAGCAAGACTGCACTGGGCACTCAAACGTCCGCCCTTTAGATTCCATTGGTTTGGCCAGGGGGTTGGGACTGTGGGGGTGAAAGGGCTTTGGAAGTGGTGTGGGATATGCAGGTTTCAGATCCGGAGGTTTGTGCGTTTTGCAGTTTGGACCGGTATGGGCTGGGTTAGGCAGGTTTTGACTCCTTCTGCTGGCCTTCACCTTGGCTTTTGACCACCTCCTTTTTCAGTAGTTTTTTGGTGGGGGAAGCGAAACATGGGTGGTTTGTGCGAAACCCCAGAAGAGGTTTGAACAATTCCATTGATCAACTGGACGCCGCCAAGCGCCAGAACTAGAACGCACCGCTCGCAGTTTCGCAGCTTGGAATGCCAACCGACTTTGGATCGCATTTGCCCAACCCGTGCATGCTTGTCAGCCAACCACCAAGGTTAGAGCATCTCTACGCCACCGTCGGCGCAAAGGGCAAGGTTCCTCGTTTGTAGCGTTCTGCTGAGGGATGGTTAAGGGGGCACCTGCGCAGGTTGTGACGACAGATTTTTCTTTCAACAAAGAGTATCAGACGAAGTACGAGCTCAACTTCGCGAAAATGATGCAGAGTCTTTGACGAGTTGGACTGGCTGCACTCGCACATGTTCTGGTGCCAGCCCGTTTGCCGAGGACCAATACGGAAAGCAAGAAGTCGCGGACAGTGCGAAGAACAGGCAGATTGCGCACCATCATTCTGAGGGTTCCTAAGATCCCATACATGTGCCGCTGCGCCCCATATCTCCCTTGGAACAGCACCGTAAGCCCGTCGCGCAAAAGCTCCGAGAAGCCTCAGGTGGTGAAGCAGTTGCGGTGGTGAAGAAAGCCGTTTCGCCCTAAGTCCTGCGCAGTTGCTGACTTTGCTTCCTGTCGCAATGCCGTCCGTGCCGGGCAATTTGTGTGCATCTGCGATTCAGGTCTGGGAATGGTGGTCCGATGAAGACGAGTGGGAGCCTTTTCAAGAAGTCGATGCTCAGCTCCTTGAGAAGGCATCGTCATCGTGCAGTCCCTGACGCATCTCACGTCTCCCTTCCCAATACCTGCGCACTCCAACTCCAGGCATACCTTGCAGCGGAGACGCCTTTCTCTACCAAAAAGCTGAGTACGTGCCCCAGGTACCAGTCTCTGCGTTTGCAACGGGTTCTTGATTTAAGAAAGCATCCTGTCTTCATGGGCTCTCACATCTTTTCAGGCTGGAACGAGGGATATGACAGCCTCTACATCTTCGACTTCACTGTTATGACACAGGCGCCGGCGGGACGCACCATAGAAGATTTCTGGAGGGCCTGAGGCTCCGCACGAGGATTGTCGTTGTGGGGAAGCGCGATTTTGTCTTGCCGAGAAGAATTGATACTACTGTTGCTTGCCCTCATATCATGCGATCGGTTGTTGGTTTGACTCGAGATTACGTCACGTTGGGGTTCCGAAAAGTTTGCATCGGCTTAATTAGGTTATGTTAGGGTTTCGGGCAGGTTAGGTTGCATGAGGTCAGACACGTGATTGAACAGTTGATGTAATGCCGAGTCTCAATGTCAGGTCAACTGTGACAGCAAGACATCCAGGAAAATCCAGCCCTGACACCGAGATTCACTTGTGCCTGATTACCTCATGAATGCCGGTCGGGGAACATGAGGCGCACAGCTGCTGGTGGATCTAAGCTGTTTGGTCACAAAGATGGCATGGAGCTAAGTTGTCCGCCAGGAAGGAGTTACTCCAATATCTTGCTCGTGAATAATGTAGCCAAGGAGAAGATGATGGCTATGCAGGGGCTGTAGGCTTCCTGTCCGACAAGATCGGGGACAGCAAAGTCATGTTTGCCGGAAAGCCCAAAACTCAGCTGCAGCGAGTAGCGAATTGAGAGTCCGACCTGACACTGCGCAACAAGACATGCAGCTCCGTGCAGCCAGAGCATGCCGGAACGGCGGAGTACAATTCGGACCGGAGCATCGGTGCAGGAACGATGATAATGCCGGACGTCCGGTTTCTCACATCTCAGAAATCATCACTGCCATTTCACCCGCCTAGAAGAGCTCCACAACCCCTGCCGCCCGGAGCCTCAGGTTCGAGCCCAGCCTGCCGGCTGCCGTCGTGACAGTCGGGCCCTGGAAAGAGGGAGGTGCGCTCGTGGACGTGTGCCTGTATGCATCTGCCCGAGGCACAGAAGAAGCTCGGGGCGCAGTCGCTCCGCAAGCAGAAGAAGGCACTCTCCTGTGCTCCTTCGCTCTATTGGAATGCGCTTGCCTTGTCTCAGGACTATGGCCCCATTGTTTCCAAAGACGAACATGGGAGGAGGGCTCCTGCCAGACCGGACTTTGCAAGACGAAGGATTATGCAACATGCAGGAAATGCTTCGATGAGATGCTACAGAATGAGAAGGAGTTCTGCGGTGAGTGGGTGGTGGGCCGCTTAGGACCCCAACGCGTCCACCGCCACAGTTGTCGAGTTTGGAATGCTGCGCAACTTGTGTAAGGTGTTTTACCACAGCTACTCCAGCGCTGTCCGTCCCCGAGCGCCCGAGGGAGTGCAGTCGCAGCTGAGCAGCTATTGCTTGCTACAGTGCAAGACTGTACAGAACCTTACGTGTCCCAGTGGCTGAGGCGCTGCTTTACGAAGTTCAAGCTGCCGTGGTGCGCTTCTCACCTCGTTCTTGCTGGATCTTCCAATTTCCGTCTGTGGCTTTTCAGGCATCGGTCCTCTTCCGTTTTAAAGCTGAGTTTGCCTCGCTTCCTCGGTTGCTCTGTCCGAGCCCAAACATGCTAAATTGACGCATTAGTTTTGTGAAATGTCGTTCAGTGCGAGGTGCGCCATTCCACCATATACCGACAGCCAAGAGAATGCTGGAAGAGTTCCCGACATGGAAGGACCATCGAAGACTTTGTGGCATGCGAGAGGTTTCGGGATCTCGTTCTATCACTTGTTGCATCTTGTTACGTCGAGACATGTGTTGTGAACCTGCAGCTCCCAAAGCCCCCGCTGGAATTGTGGCCATACTTCCAGTGGGTCGAAAGCCGGAACCTGGTTTAAAACTCGGAAGTGTGCGATGCGCTGCAAAGATGTCCAACGTGTGTCCCCGTGTCGGGCAAAGTCGCATCACCACTTTGGCTTCGAACGCGGAGCAGTCGACTCAGAGAATAGTAAGCCGCGACGACTTATGAGTGGCAGACATCTCGTTGTGCAAGTGATGTGTGAATCTGAAGGACCAGGACCACAACCAGGCCTGAACGCTCCGAGCCATGTAGAAAGTCGTGAGGACTTGGGCCTTTTCTGATTTTGTAGGCCTTTCGACTTGTCGGGCTATGTGGTGCGCTCAGCTGTGATCAGGCTTGCCGGTGTCAGCTGTCAGCCACAGAGTGTTTTCAAGTAACGGGAACAGGCGGACCGTAACAGCGACTGGTGACGGCAACAAGACTGGAAACCCGGAAGTCTCAACCTTTCATGCAGCATGTTGCAGCTATGAAACTACAGCAAATGCAAGCGCTGTTACGACTATCAGCCTGCCTACCTGTCTAACAGCTTGTGCCTGCATAAGATCGGTTGTGTGCACATGCTGTATATCCATATATCATCACACACACACAAGCACACATGTGCGTGTGCCCTCTCCCAATGCATCCATATCTTTATCTGTTCGTTTTGTACTTCAAGCCTGCCCGTGGGGGACCGGTTTCGGTCCCCTACTTTGCGAACATAAAAGCCTCCATGCCGTGCTAGTTTCCAACGGTATTTCCTGTTCCGGTGGTCGTTCTTGTTACGCTGGTCGCCTGGTCACTGTTACCACGGACGCGCATGTCGGTTACAGTGTGCGAGATCGGTATACTGCCCAAAGCGGGTCCCGTGACTCCCCGCACCCGTCAGCCACAGGTGGAACCTCATCACTTCTTGCACATGACTCGGAGGCGCCAGCCAAGCCCGAAGCTTAGGCTTCCATTCGCTCAGAAAGCGCCGCACGAGCGTCGCCTGTCTTCGACCGGCGCGGCCGTCCCCGGCAGCGCAGGTCCGTCTTCCTGGCTGGATACAGCGTCGGCCCTCTGAAGGTCGCGTCATTGCAGGCCTTGCGCAGCTTTTCTGCAGCCGTCCCTGTGCTAGGGCGTGCTGGAGAAACTGCTGACAAGCTGCGGTGTCCCTTCGGCCAAGATCAAGGCAGGTGGCGCACTTGCGGCTTCGACCATGCCACAGGGACCTTTCGTTGACGACAGCCCGGAACAGAGCAACTCAGGGGGTGTTTGGATGGCATCCAATAGTGTCAATAGCGCCAAGCTACGACAATTCTGGCGGATGATGTACGGTAGGACCATTGGCTACAAAGTTGCAGGACACGAGCAGTGTCGCAGCAGACCAGTTTTTGTGGACGACACACTTTGGCCACCGCGCAAGACAGCCCTGATCGGCGACGAACGCGGAAACGCATAAGAGGCCGAAGTAGCTCGCACCATCAAAGTCTAAAGTGAGCCTGCCTGTCGCAGCAGTTTCCCATTTGATTCTTCCGCTTTTCGGCCGGCCTTGCTTGGGCCCCACCGGGAACTGCTTCAGCAGCCTCTAGACTCTAGACTCTACAAAGCACAACACGGGGCAGAGTGAAGCTCAGAGGCGAGCCAAGACCAAGGCCGTGCCCGAACGTCCCGTATCGTCCCGTCCCGGCAAAGGCAAACACTGACGCATCGCACCTTGCTGTGGAAACGGTGAGGCAGATGTTGCGATTTCAAGTGCATGATTTGCTACACCCTGCCCGCCACTCCATCCCCGTCCCCCATCCCCGTGCCCCATCCCCGTCCCAAATCCCCGTCCCCCATCCCCATCCCCCATCCCCGTCCCCCATCCCCGTCCCCCACCCACCCCACCCCAGCCTACCTCCACCGGATTGGCGAGCTCGAAACTTCAGGGTCCCCGGCCGAGTCCACGACTTGGCATTCATCGGGGCAGAGACATATCCATCTGAACGAACGGCTACAAATGCGCTCGGGTTTTCGGGATACTAGCTTCAACCTTATAGGTTTTTCCTACTGCATAGTCGGATGCTTTACAACATGTCTCTGTGCCATCGTGCCGCTTCTCGGGCGTCTGCCTTGTTTTCAGCGCTTACTCTTGACGCGCTCATGCCAGAAACTGGCCGCTGACATCATCGCACTTGCAGTGAAGCTCTGGTCTCGGCGCTAAGAGCTTGCAGTAGACACATGTGATCATTGCCGGAGGTCCGGTCTCGACTGCAGTGGCATACCTGGTGGCAAGAAATGCAAGTCCCGGTGCCTACTTTGCAAGCGTCGCAGGTTGGTAATGATATGACACCGCACCTGCTGTCAAGGTCAGGACGATCGGGCCACATGTTGCAGATCTTCCTGAGGAGACTTCGCGATCCAAAGAAAAAGCTCTGTGACCCATTTTGTACTCGTGAAGCCTGGCTTCTTTGGGCCCCGTCAAGACTTCAGGATTTCGGGAGCATCCCCTCCTCGGCTCTAAAACAAAAAGGCTTATTGGAGGTGATAGACTTGGTACGAGTCTGGAGATCGGCTGGGCTGGCAGAACCGGCACCGACTGAGCACACCCGAATTCGGAGCAGGAGAGAGCTTTGTGACGAGTATGCGCGCGGCTTTGCAGATCCAGTTTCACATCAGTCGTTGTAGACGGTCAGTGCGAACCGGGTCCAGGTCTATCCATCCTTTCCATTTGGAGTGCCTGACAAGAAGCGGATGAAGCCATCGCTGAGCAAGTACTTGACCGAGGACCAGCTACGTCGCAGAAAATGCACGAATAACGGCTCGCGACTGCTCTGGTGCACAGGACGTCAAAATCGAAGGTCAAGTTCGCATCACTTTGAATCCGGATGTTTTCTTAAGAGCTGCGCACCGAGCTTCCCTGAACCATCGGACCGACGAGCCCAAAGAGTAGATTCAGTGAGTGCAGTCAAGGCCACCACGGCGAGGATGTTTACCTTTCCGGCGGTGCGCCGGGCAAACCGCCACATCACCCACTTTCAAATCTGAACAATCGCCAGGATCCGACATTTCACAAGCCGGGTGCCCAAAGCCAACGCCAAAGTATGTGGGTCTCAATTTCGGCTTTGCTTAGATCGCTTCAGGAATCGGCCCGACTTCCAAGACAAGTTGAAGTGACCCGTCAGCAGAAATGGCTGTGTCCCGCGAGGCAGCGAGTGTGAAACACAGCTCTCGGCTGGGACGCGGGAGCAGGGCTTTGGGCAGTCGGGGCGTGGCGGAGGCGCAGGCTGCGAGCGACGGAAAGAAGTCACTGAAAAAGCAGGTCACTAGTTAATCCAGCCAACATGTGTCAGCGGCACAAGTTAGGGACCGGCGACAGGGACGTTCGATGTTCTACAACATTCTACGCAACCTTGGCCAAAGCTGACATAGCATACCCTGCTGGATCTTAGAGGCTTGGGCGTGAACTTGTTGTGCAAGGGTGTGTGGAAGCAAACACGATCGAGGTCGCTCCTTGAGCCTATCCTTGGGACGGAAGCAGTCCGCGTCAAAGCAGTGCGGCCTCTCAGAGCCTGAACCACCGCAGAAATCGCCGCCGGGAGTCTCTTCAAATACCCTTGGCCAAGGCCAAAGGCATCTTTGGAGGCGACCCACCAGATTGGTGGTCTTCGGAGGAGCCCACGATCGTTGCTCTTCAGTCGTGGTGTGCTTGCAACTTCTGCAGGATCAAAGTGACATGGCCAAAATGTCGAAAGGCCGTTATGCATCCTCATCCTTAGACTGACAATGGGCGTCTTCGTAGGCTGCGTTAGTAGGAACAGGGACAGAGCAGTGACCGACAAGCATAGATTAGGGTCCAGTGTTTTTCTTCTGAGATGTCCCAACCTTCCTGCCAACGTCTCGTTTTCAACTTAGGAATAAGCTTAAGACATGTCCGTCTCGGAGCCAGTGCGAGCAAGTTGCATTGACCGAGTGGGTCGCGGCACGAGGCACAAGCTTCAACGCTGCATTCCCATGTCTTCTGTTCGACCTTCCTTTCGGGGTGGAACAAAAGGAGCAGTGCTATTGACAAATATTCTGTTGCATGGCGGGGAAGTGCCAGGATGCGTGGCCTGTCGCCGTTTCCGTCAAGCTGCTGTCATGGCTGGCTACGGGGTGAGTCTTCACGGTCTGGGTCGTGTGTGCGGTGGGCAGGCCGAGAGCCCGACTGAGAAAGATGTCGATCCGGCGAACTTCCAGCAACTACGCCAGTTGCGGGATCAGTCGGTCATGCAAGGCGACGTTGCCGCGTTGCGGCAGGAGATGCTGACCCTGAAAATGGTGGTGAGCACAGCCAAAACCGAGATGACCGTTTTGATCGAACAGGAGGTCGGAGAGGCCATTGCAAAGGAACGAGCCGAACGAGAGCGTGCTGAGCGACTCATGGATGAAAGAGTTGCAGCCTGTGTACAGCAGTCCCAGATCCAACAAGAGGAGGTGGAGAAGCTCCAAGGCCAGGAAAGCCACGCAAATCCTCGCGACTTGAAACACGGAAGCACGGCACGTCGCAGTGAGAGGTGCCGTGAGCGCTTTCTTTCAGTTGGGGAGGCCGGCTGGAGTCGAACGCGAACGCGGTGCAAGAGACCCTCGGCAAGCTGACAAAGGAAGCCACGGAGGCCCTGCGTGACGGCCAGGCCAGGGCCAGCTGCGGCCAGCTGCGGCTTGCGCAGTCGCGTACCCCCCAATGCAGGTCTTGCAACAGAAGCTGCAGAGGCTCGAGGACAAAGAAGGCCATTTCATATCATCTCATCACTGTGTCGCGATGTCGCGTACGACGCATCATGGCCCATGACTGCGTCCATGGTCGTCAGGCAGAGACATGACGCAGATGAAGCAGGCCGGCCCTGCAACTCTTAGGCCCTCCGACTTGAAGCGAGCGTCTTGGCAGGACATGCAGTTGCAAATGCAGAGTTTGCAGGCGACAAAGGTGCCAAGTGTGCTTCAGAGCTCGCAGCCCGATTCGTTTGACGCCTCCTCTGACATCTGTATGATGCAGGTGCAGCTAGAGCACCTTGTGCAAGAGACCTGTCAGCAGTTTCAGGCTGGTGCGAACACGTGGTCCTACGTAAAAACTGTCAGCTTGTGCAGTCCTCAGGCCGAGCAAGGTCAGGAGCTTTTGGAGGTGGGAGATCAAGACTTTGCTGCAAGCGATGGTTGACGCGTCTTTTCCACAGGTCAATAGTAAGCACGACACCTTGCACAAGGCTGCATTCCTTCACTGTGGTTGGCAAGCTGTGGCTGCTAGTTTGTTGAGAGAATCAGCTGCAATTCTTGCATGGCTTCGAGTGGCCTTCGAAGGCAATTTGGGGTTTGCAGAACCGGCAGATGAAGGTCTTCGGATCTCTACTCAGTCTCCACCAAGCTGGAACAGCCTATCTTGCAGGAGACGACAAACCTGGGGCAGACCTGGCAAGATTTGACCCTCCCTCTCTGCCCCCTGCCCCTGCTTTTTGTTGGACGGAATGTGTGCGTGTCCGTGGCTTCATTCGTGCAACTGTTCAGCTTGTTGATGCCATGCAAAGATTTGCAAAAGGTTAGCCCGGAAGGATGGAGCTAGAGGTTGAGACTTCAGAGGCTCTGGGAGGATCTGAACCAGCTGACCGGGCAAGTTCAAGAATTGGTGAGCAAGCAGGAGGCCACTTGCAATTCACTTGACAGCAGTGGCACGTACGTTCGCAGCTTGTCAGGGCAGCGTGAAACTTGGGGAGGAGCAGGCAAGGTTCTCGAGAAGCATGGCACAATCATCGATCGACTCGTTCAGGGTCACATTTTGGACGAACTCCATCATTCACACGATGATTTGCAGAAGAGGACCCGTGTGGCTTCATGCCGTCGTTTTCAGCTGAAGCTCCTGCTGGCAAGTATCGAGCTCCCTATTCTCAGAAGTTCCAGTTGATGTGTCACGACTTGATGGCCGAAGGACCAGCGAATTGACGCGCGCGGCTCAGCACTTGTGACGCTTTGACCGTCCCGGAGCCAGAGTCTGCTTAGGGGAAAGCACTAGGTCAAAGAGAGGGTCATGCCGCAGAGCCAGGAATAGTCGTGGATGTTGGGCTAAAAAAATCTCGGAGCCAATCCGTGGGCCCAGGGAAAAAGATAAAATTCATCCTCCCGCGGGGATAACGGCGCCCCTCGAAAAGGATGTTTGCATGAATTCTTCCGCGCCTGTTTGCCACAGGAAATAGGCTTCCTCTTGGATTTGTTGAATGCATATTTTAGGGTTTGGAATCGCTTGAAGCTCGAGTTTTGCACATTCTAGTCGCACTTATGGCCTGGTGAGGCCCTTAGGCGTGAAGTAGTAGATTGAAAGTAGCATTGGCGAACACACCCAAAGTACCATGCCTGTCACACGAAACAGGGCTTAGCATAGGATTGAGAATACTGCAGCAACCCTTCGTGCAACAGGACATGATCTGAAATGATAGGAGATGACGTGACATGATATGATATGTTATATCATATCATGACATGAACGGACATGTGAGGATGTGACCATTATGAGAGTAGAATCGATATCATCCATCACCATGCAAACATCACCATGAAGAACTGCAACAGGCAGAGTAGCATAGTGACAGAGTGTAAGCACAGACCGTCGTAACCCCCATCCTCCCACCCGCAAGCAACAAGTAGGCGCAGTTATCCCCCATGAAGTCGAATATGAAGAAAATTTGCCTAAGATATAACGAAATCATATGAACATTATTATATGAACGAAATATGGAGAAATAACAGACAAGTGTGAACAACGAACAACATAAAACTAGGATTTATGGGTCTGCCCGGGAAACATGAAGACAGCATAAATAACATATGAATAACATGTGTATACAAGAAATGAAAAGCAGTCGCAGGCCGTGCTTCTCATACTTTTCCTACCATTGTTCACAGTTTTATATGTTTTCTAGTTTTTCTTATTTGTCGTTGTTGCGTATTTTTCATACTTTCCCGAAGGGGCGGGGGGGCTGGGGAATGGCTCAGCTCTTAGGGAGAATGAGGAAAACGAGGACATCGTTGCGGCCTGCCCCCATCTCTGGACACAAATTCCATGGGCCGAAACCTCAAAAGTCAAGCACCGCGGCCGAGCCGCTGCTTCAGAACCCTCTCCGGAATTCCCAAACGATGGAGCATCAACACAGCTTGGCTCATAGTTCATCAGCCCCATCGTCGACCCCACGAGAGGCAAGTCAAGCAATCAGCAGAGAGCGGTGGGTGAACCAGAAAATGAAGCAGACCATAGAAACGTATGCAAAGGAGAACACCAGATGACTAGATTGTTGCATTTCAGGGACAGATTGGCCGCGGCCGAGCAGAAGCATGCATTGCTAGAGGCGCAGGATTTCGAGACTTGGCGGGAGCTTGAGGTTGTCTGCCAGTGCTTGCAATGAGCAGGAGTCGTCCAGTCAGGGCGATACAAATGCTCGCCTTCTGCAGCTATTATTGCGGTAACTGTACCTCGCTTCGGTTTGACAGACAGACAAGGTTTTGCAACTGAGCGAGAAGATGACTCAAATGGCACAGGCCAGCATGGTCGGCTTTTCGGAGTGAAGAACAACTACTTCGCTTGCATGCGTGGACTGCCTCCCATTCAAGCAGGTTTCAGAGAAACTGTTATGTGATGCACAAGCTGCAGCTATTGCATCCGCCGCAGCCGGTCGGGTGCTTTGCTTTCCCTCCTTGACCCTTTGTTTTCAAGCTACTTGGAATTCGAGGTGGTCAGGTGCGCGCGCTCGAGACCTGGCAAGCCGAGGATCCCAAAATCCTTCCAACTCGCGAAATGTAGGCATTTGTTCGTTCTCCAGACTTGGACAGGCGCAATTGAAGCTGGGATCATTGGAAAGGGCTGCTGCTGAACTGAGAGAGACGTGCTCTCAGGCTGGATTTGGCTTTCGGTCGAGTCGTACTTGGGTCGTGACTGCCATAAGCGGTTAATTCAATCTTTCCGCACTGCTGCAGTTGGGCTGCTATCCCATGCTCATCTTCAGTCATGCTGACGTACAGTGTCATGACCTTCAATGCGAGCAATCGTGACTGCAAAGAGCCAGCAAAGGAATCGGGGCAAGCACATACTCAGAACAAGAGCAGCCCGCTGCCCACCACCCCGACGTCACACGAGCAGACAACCCGGCAGCACAGAGGACGAGCCAGCAGAACGGCGCCGCAGAAACCAACAAGTCACCTGCGGCACCCAGCAGCAGCAGCAGCAGCAGTAGCAGCAGCAGCAACTCCGGCGACAAAGGCCACAAGCATGGCAGGCCATCCTGCAAAGCAGGAGAGACAGAGACAGAGGACGAGTTTCGGGGCGACATGCACGACGAGAGGGAAAAGTGCCAGCCAAACAAACCAGCGATCCGACTGATCAGACAAATCACAGCAGCAGCAGCGGAAGAACAGAATGGGGGGCGGACAGCGCACCTCTCAAGCTTGATATAGAAAAACTCACGCAGAGGTCTAGAGAAAGACGAGTAAGGAGGGGATATATTTACAGAAAGAGGGAGAGTGGAAGAGAGAGTAACACTTCGACGAGAGAGTAAAACTTCGACGAAGCAAGACTGCTTCTCTCGTTGGTATGCAAGGCGGTCCAGCTAAAGGTGCACACAGAGGAGCAGGACCCTGGTGACGAAATTCTCAGAGGATTGTCTTTCAATTTCCTCGGGGGTTTCCAGAAACTGTGTGAATGTCAACGCTTCAAACGATCGGGAACACTCGATGGCTTGTGGAAGTTTAGTAGGCTTTCGGCATTGGTGCAGGAGCGCTGGCATGATCGCTTCGGCGATTGCCTGCAGCGCCTTGCAAGCGCGAACCTCTGAATCGAGCACAAAAAGCTTCAAAGCCTGGAGCCCTTCCTCCGCTGCAGGTCTGGAGACCCAAGCAGTGTCGATAGGTCAAGACAGGAAGGCCGGAGCTGTTTTTGACTGGGTTGGTTCCGTGCCGGCAAAAGATTCTCAGCTCCAGGCATGTGATGAGGAGCTGCGGAGAATCCAAGCACAGACCAGGACTATTACTGCTCCTGCCCCAGAGCACCGCCGATGTCGGCTTAACATCAGGATCCTGGAGACTTCTGTGGAGCAGGCTGCACAGGCCAGTGCCCAGACCTTGATGGAGAACTGGATTTTTGATGGAAGCCAAGAATCTGCTTTGCCCCCACCAAGCGATTGCTGGCATTTCCTAGGCACGACAAGCAGAGCTTCATAGCCGGCTGGAGGAGAGGTGCGGCGCCATGGATCTGCGCCAATCTTCCATGTTTGCGGCTCAGTGTCATCTCTGCAAAGTGTGAGCTCATCTTCTACACAGGCCTGTGCTTCGCAGCACTCGTATGTAGCTCTGGCAAGGCGAGCGTTCGTAAAGCAATCCATAAGGGATGGGACATCTTCGTCGAAGTTTAGAGGCTCGAGTTCAACTACTGCACCATTCAGAGCACGAAGTCGCCTGAGCATCCACCAACGCGCCCAAAAGCCACGCACTTGTGGATCAGAAGCTGGAAGAAACTCTCTTCTCGATGCGTCTGCGCACTGTCTGGAAAGACGACCTTCAGCGCGGGAGGCCCTCTAGGCTCCCGATCGTGAGAGAAGTTGTACAGCCCAGGTCCGAAGAGCTGGCCAGGCTGCTTTCCAAGGAGAAGATCATCGAGGTCCCGACCTTAAGATTTGGCCATAGGAACACCGTAGTCTTCAGCCACAAGGACCTGGATGCGAAAGTCACCGAACTTCAGCCATGCATTGCCTCTTGCGACGAGAACTTGGCCAGAAGCTTAGACACAAATTTGGCGACCAGCTGTCGGATGGGCGGAGATATGTTCAGCCGTTGTCACGGCACATACTAGCTGCGAGCAGCTAGTCGAAGGCAGTGTTCTTCATGTGAAGCCTCCATGTCTTGCTACCCTTGAGCAATATGCAGAGGATTGCCGTAACAAGGTCCTGATCCGCAACCTGCAAGCTGCACAAGAAGACATCAGGAGAAGTGTCTGCTTTATTTGCCTACAGTACCATAGTGCAGCACAACAGCCGCACTGATGCGATTTGCATTCAAGCAACTGGATGCTCTGCGGTCCTGGGAGGAGTTCCCAGGAGGGCACCCGGCAATCGTTGGACACGTCTGTGCGCGCATTGGAGCAGCATTTTTCAGAGGCCATACTCTTGAAATCAGCATCGTCTTTTGCCCTGCCCCCTGCTCGCAAAACGCTCAATTTCGCTGCAGGTGCAGCGATCAAACAGCGAGGCCAAAGACAGCCTTGCGAAAGCACACACAGAGATCTTGAGGCACAGCTCAGTGGCAGCACGGTGATCGTGTGAATGCTTCTCAGGTGCTCCATAGCTGATAACTTAACAGAAGCAAAGCCTTCTGATCCAGAGAGGGATTTTCAAGCCTGGAAGCCGCCAACTTGAGCTGTTTTGGCTTCAACACGGCCGAAGGAAATTGGAAGACCAAGGCATAAGCACCAAACTTTCAGTGGAGGCTTGCATGCCAGACCTAGACTCCTGGAGCTTCTCCTGCGAGGCTTTCCAGGCAAGACGACGTGCTGAGCGGCGGCCAGGCACGACAAGAACACACCACTTGTCAACGTTCCTTGCCACCAAGTCTTGCGAGCAGTATCTGCTTCAGGCCACTCTTAGCCAAGAAGTTGACCTCATTCAGAAGACGCTGCCGACGGTGATGGAAAATCAGAAGGCCGTGCCTAACCACATAAGAGTCAACATTACTTTAGGAGTCGAAACAGGGAACGCTGGAGATTCGAAAGCGAAAGCAGTAACAAACACGAGGACAGTGGGGCATCGGGGACACTGACCTATTTGTCTGAGACTGGGGCGAAAGCTAGCACAGTATCTCATTTCATACGAGAGAATCAACGTAGTGTGACTTAAATTAAGGAGTGACTGGGAGGCAGCATGATTTTATAAGGAGCCTGAAGAACGTCTGCACATGACATTGTTGCATGATTTCACAGGCACAGTATGTGTAGAACTTAGTTCGCAGGCTGCCTCGCTTTACAAGGCAACACTTCTTGGTGTAGGTGCGTGATTTGGCTGTTTCGGAAGATGCCATGTAAAACAAAGGTGGGACTGAGCCATCATTTGTTTGACTCCTCCACTTCAACAAGCAGGAGAAGCAGCATCCTTCTCGGAGATAGATGCAAGAATCACGGAGGGACTTGCCTAACACTTCGAAATCTAAAGTTTTCAAGAGATGGCCAGCGATGAAAGCGTGCAGCAAAGGGGAGTGCTAGCTGTGCCTGCTGCCGCTTGCTTATGTCAGTGTGTCCACCGTAGTACAAACCGGCAAACGGTGGGCTTGTCATGCCGGGGGACAAGCTGCCCAGCATCTCCCCGAGATGGTGAGAGTGCAACTTAGGGCATCCGTATGCAATAATAACTTCAGTTAGAATGACATACATGGTACAGTATAACAGTATAACGTTATGTAACGTGCGGTCGTGTGATGTAACATGACACACACGACAATGCACGACAGTGCGATACAGCACGGTACAATGCAGGACTACGCATGCATATATATATATATACA